AACGCCAAGTAAGACATGCTTACAAACCAGGAATTACCACAGTCAAGCCGATGTATTCATGCATGCTGTAAACACAATGGCCCAAGCATGTTGTTGTGGCCGGCGGCGGCGAACTATGAGGGCGTGAAAGATTTTTGGTAGATTCCCGCCTGAGTACTCTATACTGTGACATACTGTATGTTCACTTTAAAGCAGCCGTAAAATTAATGATTAATTTATACTATTATTATATTATACGGTACCATATGTTTTAATGTTGTTGTTTTTACGAAATAAACTTCAATATACAAATAAATTAAATATTGTTAGCAATTTGTTTTACCTGCTGCAGAATGGTACGAATTATAAACATTATGTCATTAATGAACAGAGCAAACACATGTTAAGCTCAACGGTGGCATTAAAGGGAAAAATGCTTTCTTGGCTTAGGGCAAACCCTTGCTAGATGGTTAAATAGGTAGGTCTAGAACTGGTTAAATTATGACCAAATTAATTAAAATACTACAGTACATTGATCGACGTTAGGCCTAGTCAGGTGAGCTTTTGTTGTGTAGCTGTTGTTTGATGTAGTTTCGATGATAGATAATCCCTTTTAGCTGTAGTTAGGGCGTAAGTTAGAGAGACACTAAAAAATGCAAATTGCCGATGTAGTGCCGAGACGAGTGCAATTTACATCGGCAATTTTTTGCCGAGGACTTATCGTCCCAATTTCGAGGGCTGATTGGGTCCACGAAGAATGGGTCCACATTTTTTAAAAAGGGTCTAAATTATTTGCACAAAATCAGTCCCATTTTTAAGAAAATGAGTCCAGATTTTTGCGTAAAATTGGTATCTTTTAGACATTATTTAAATTTATGTGTAAAGTGGGTCCACTACATTAATATAATCCCGCACTGTTTGAAAATCCTGGCTACGGCAATGTCCCCCCCAACCACCATAACAATTAATCTATTGTGTTGCTGACTGTAAAACAGTAGGCCCTAGATCATGCATCTTCCGTTGTGAACTACTGCCCTTGAAAGAAATCACTATACTGTAATTGCTTATGATACATCCTGTGAAAATTTTGCATTAGGCAGCCTATGGGCAGACCAACAGATCTAACTGTACTAGCCTTTGTTTACTCAAGTATAATACTGTAGTTTAACTTGATCAATGAAAGTTTCCAGCACACCATTTACAGTAAATCATGTGTTGCTCCACTGACCGAGTACGCTCCCCTCAGCATGATGTTATCTTTCAATTCATCATAATTGGAAACATCCATCCAGTACTTGTATTTTCAAGGCACACCAATTTTGTAGGAGGGTTACTACAGTATAGGCATCCATACATGTAATTCTAAAGAACAATTTATCCAATTTCACAACAAAGGAAAGAGAATACTGTCATCCATACTTACTTACTTTATTTCACTGCCCTTCACGGGGTAGTAATGTACTACTGTACAAACTCATTGTAAATGCAGTAAATGTTGATGTTCATTTTGGAAAAAAACTAATTACCCCATACTAAAACATTCTGTTGGTTAAAATAATGTAATATCTTAAAAAGCTATTTTTATCTGGGTTTATTCATTTGCTTTGAAAATAAAAAAAATAAAATCATTACGGACCTAAATTTTGGACCTATAATTTCTGTTGGTTTTTAAATTAATTAATGAAATATCAAATTATTATATCCTGGTAAATAGTATTGAAGGAAATCCCTAATTTGGAAAGTCCTTTGTTTAAAAAAAACCCAGTAATTTAGCATTTATTTTAAAGCAAACAAATCTCACACAACTGTATTATTTGTAAGGAAAACATACAGGGAAAAAAACCACTATCAGTTTCATACATTAGCTCGAAACTATGTTACTAAGAAATGTTTATCAATGATTGATTGATTGATTAGTATACATGAGGAAAAGGAAATACTATGTTCATCTTTAAATGAAAACATTAGAAAGTCTTACAAAAAAAATGGCTGCACACCAAAAGGGCTCTGCGAACTCCATTCACAACAGTTGTTAGTTACGGATTGTTGACACAGAACAGTATCATTAGTATAAATACAGTTAAACTTGCCTAAGTCGACTTTGCACAACTCGTATAATTTCTAAGTCGATTTTATTTTACATGCCAAATTTTTGTGTTTTCCATTAATTAACAATCTGAAAATCGAACAAATTTTCAATGTCATTTTGGATTCCACTAGGCAAGTTCAACTGTAGGCCTAATACAAGGCTAATACACAGCCAAGTAAAGGAAGGCATGACGAAATTGACTATTCCATAAGCACGCACCATTTGGATAGTTGCTTTAAGTCCCACAAAATGAGAGCCTAAACATGTACGTTAGTGGGACAGCACATGACTGTGGAATACTAGTTCTGACCCTGTTCTGATTGGTCAATTAAGTTTGATTGACAACATTCATGTGGCTACTTTGAAATGATAAAGCAATTATAAACATTTTTTATAAACATTTTTTTTATAATTCTGTACAAAGCATTTTGGTATTTTTTATCAATCAATTTATAATTTTGTGGCCATTATATTGGTTTGGTTAATGGTTGCTTTCACTTCAATAACAAGGAATCTAATACTGTATGGCAGATCCAGAAGGGAATGAGAAAATGTTAATTATGTATTCACTACCAAAATTGCAACTTTTCTTTATTCCTAATGAGTAATGTACTCTTATCCAAAGCCACAACTTTAGCTAAGGTCCAGGCCAAAACATGGAGTTTTCAAGTCCACTATGGAACTGAGAGAAGAAGATAATGACTATGGAAAGAGCTGAGAGAAGAAGATAATGACTATGGAAAGAGCTCATTTCCAGTCATAATTCCAAGCCTGCATTGGTCTTGCCTGTTCAACTGGAACATTCACAGCTTTTCATCGTATTGCTATGATTGCAGGACTGTACAAAGCCATTCACTGGCCATTTAAATACTAAAACATGCATAAAAGATGCAGTCAATAAAAGACCACTTTAAATGTTGTTTATAAAATCATCAGCTTGATTTGACTCTTGAGTAATAAAACATTAATTTCATTCATTTTATTTTTGGTAGTGGCTTATTCCAGTCTACTGTATCAAATTCCTAATTCTCATTAATAATGATAAATATGGATAGAATCTGGGCTATAACATCCGATCAGAATTAGGAAGACTCAAGACATGGTGTAAGGTAATAGTTAGCCAAGCTGCATTTATTGGTTTTTTGGTAAGTCGCAAATTTTCGACATACCCAGTTAAAAAAACGTAATTTTCGGACTTTTGGACAACGGAATTACAGGAATCAATTTTAACAGATGCACTCATACATTCCAACTACAAATTCATAAAATTAAACTGCATCCTGCCTGTAAAATGTAATCATTCTTTCGCCCATTTTTCGCCACCCCCTTAGAGGCTTTCACCCAGCTTTTGACCCTTTTTATTTTTTGACAGTCAGTGCTATTTTCACAATTTTTACCTCTTGAAATACAAATTTATTCGCCTACCAATAATAGAAAGGTTAAATAACAGTTAATTTGAAACTATTTCACTGTAAACTATCCTTTTACTATAATGAAAGTATACAAAACAGACCAGTTTGTGATTGCATGTCTTACAAATACAGTAGTAGCGAAAAATGGCTACTTCGCCATATTGATTTTAGGACACCCTCTATAATTTTATAGTAATTAACAATAGGATGTTGAATAATAACCCCAACATTTGCTCCGTGACGTACTGTAACCTCTCTCTTCTTATTTGCTAACTGTAAGCAACGTGACAGCAGCCATGTTTCGATCTCAATGTTTTTAGAATTAAATTTTCTTTCGAATAAATATAAACTTGGGATAGATTTATCCACTCTAAGGTAATTAATTTTAGATGTGATACGACACCATATTCTTATTCTCCCTTGGGAATATCATATTTCATAAAAATTTTAATTCATAATTTGAAAAAAAGTTGTTTTTTTACGGACAGTTTTGGCCCCGGCCCTTCTTTTGTAAAGTAAAAGTAAAAAAAATGAAAGAAAGAAAGAAAAAGAAACAATTGATCGCCCATTTTTGGGTGTCAAGAAAACATATTTTGAAGGGGAATTTCCCGGACCCCTTAAAGTAGGGTTGTGTTATCTCGATCGGCCCCAATTTCGGCACCCCTCGGACATCTCTGGATCCACCCTGGTGAACCCTGAACTTCTTAAATCAATGACCTTTCCAATGTTAAACTTAACAACTGACCGATCAAAACAAGGTCAGGAATACATGCATGTCTCGCAACCACATGTGTTGTTCCACAAACGCACGTGTATGCTTTTACACTGTCATTTTGCGGGATCTTGTTGGCATCAATATCCAAGGGGCAGAGCTTCAAGGAAAGGTACAGTCATTAGGCCTCTTGCCTACAGTATGCTAGGTGATGGGTGGTGGTCACTGATCATGTATGATTTAAGATTGGCTTTAGTGTCTAATATGGACGATACAATGCCATTAACAAATTGCAGCATATGTTAATTTATTCACTTACATTATAAATTCAGTGTAGGTGGGCCGTCGCCTAGAAACAAACCACTTACTAGGGGCATAGATCTTTTTTAAATGCTGTTGTTAAAGGGCTAGACATGTCATGGTTAATTATAAAACAAAAAAACAAAAGCCTTTCTACTGACCTCTCTCTAGTTTAACTAGGCCTACCTAGGCCTATGGCCTAAATAAATGGTCAATTTAATAGAAGTAGGCCTAGGCCTATTAGTAGCATGCGAATTTGGGTGATGCACTGTGTAAGCATGTTAATGTAGGCCTAAATGTATATTACACAAAAAAAAACTGAAATTAGGTAATTCATTATGAAATAGGGCCTAGGACTACTACGTACTAGGCAATAAATCCTGTGACCTTTCATATTTAAATGCCTACCTATCAACCATGATCTAACAAAACCATCGAACGCACACCACGCCAACATCAACAAACTTAACCAAACAAAAAAAAATTAATATAACAATAAAATACCAACCTTCGTCCACCCATAAACTTGTCAACGTGGCAGAAGAAGTGGTCATAATTACTTCTGTTGCATTTAATCATTCAGATCTCTGGCATTTAACTCAGACGAGTCGATGCACAACTACTACTATCGATCGGTGAGAAATATAGCCCAAATTCTTGTACACACCAGGGTCGTCGTCGTTCGAAAATGGCGAAATAGGTAAGAGTTACAGAATTCAAATGTGATCTTTTGTACTTAATATAACTTGTTTTGAGCCATCGTAAAACTGGCGACTAACATATAAAACCAATACTTAAAATAAGTAAAAGAAATTTAAAATCCCTTAATTTAACTGAAATCTAGGACCAAAAACTACCAACTACTTCCTTTGTAGGCAGCCTGATCGTGAAGCTGTAGAAAACTAAGCTTGGCGGTGGCGATGTAAGGAGACCGTTGATTGGCTAACTTCCAATACCTTGATAGGCTAATGCGGCTGCGCATTTTGAGAGACGCAATCTTTTGTTGCCTCTGAAGACTAACAACTTCAAAATATTCAATGCAAGGTTCAAAACATCTTCGGAATAAATGTTTTTATAGGATTCCAAGAAAATGTTATTCTTAGTGTTTCGTATACACTCACATAACTGATCTTTTTGATTCAGAGCATGGGGTAACGAAGTCTACGTAGTTCTGGCATTTAAATTGAATAGAGGGCAGTATTTAAATATTGAGAAATTGAGAACAGAACCATGCATTGGAAGAGGGATCGACTGGATGGATGGAATAGTATATTCAATTCAAATTGTCGATATTATTTCGAAAACATGTCCATAATGTAATTTCTGAAAAAAAAATGAAATACTATGAATTAAAAGAAAATGAGTAGCATAATAAGCAATGGGCCTACAATTATTATTTTTTCCATAGCTTACTTTTTTCAAAACACTAGTCGAGTTGATGCATTTAAAGTTTGTAGATTTGTCAATTTGGTGCCACAAAGAATACAGAAATATGTTTACACTGGCATGAAAAATTACATAACTATAAAATTACTTAAATATAAAATAGTTAAGAGGTTACAAAATTAATACGTACACAGATTGCACATCCAAACACTTACGGGGTTACGGCACACTTTACTCTTGGCCCCGGTTTGGAAACATGAATTGAGTTAGGAATGAAAGATTGTCTGAAGCGAATGTTTTTGTTCGATGGATGATGATGATGATGATGACAAAGACAATGATGATAGTAATGATGATGACGACGACGAAAAAGACAAAGAAGACGTTAATAATGAAAAACGTAGATGAATACCAGGGGCGGATCCAGAGATGTCCAAAAAGGGGAGGGGGTAAAAAAATGGGGCTGATCGAGACAACACTACCCTAGGAAGTCCGGGGAATGCCCCTCGAAATTTTTGTTTTCTAGACTCCCAAAAATAACCTCTGGGGCGTTTTAGGCAATCATTCTTTTTCTTTCTTTCTTTTCTTTTTTTTTTTACTTTCCTAAAGGACGGCCTGGCCCCCACCACTAAATCCCCCTGAATACAATAAATATAATCTTCGTTTGCTCATTTTTGCATGCCATGCCAACAATCATATCACGATTGTACGATCCATTAAGTTGGTTGTGTTCTGGTTTCTATTTTATTTAAGACTCTATTGACGCACTGTTCCTTTGATCATCAAACCATAAAATCAAATAAAATACAAAATTTAACAATTAGGGGCCTAGGCCTAACTGTCAGCACAAGACTTCCTTGAATTTCCTGTTATGAAACTTGCAATCTACATGAACTACGTGTGTATTTCCTTTAACAAACAAATGCACATTGTCAAACGAAATCATAAATTTTCAGATTAATTATAAACGACATTGGTTGAAAAAGCCGGTACCTGTACTCGTCGACCACCAATGAGAACCGATATAAAAGTGTAACAAAAATGGCAGGTTCCAGGTAAATAATAGAAGAGTCTGAGAAGTTCGAGGGTCGGAGGATTTCGACTTTTGAGAGAGGGAGAGAAGATTAGGCTAGGGCGGACGCTGTTGGGAAGTAAAGAATTATAGGAAAGAATTAATGCGAGTACAAAATGTTTAAAATGAATCTAAATGATATTTTTTTTTTTTTTTTTGCGTTACATTTCTTGCAAGACTGGTCCAGTGTTGAAAAACATTACAAAGTCTATAGACGTTTCAACAGCTCAAAAATCAACAACAGAAAAGACGATGAAAAGACATTTGACGTTATACCAATGCCGATATAAAACGCTATAATGGTTTGTGTTATTTCGATTTGCTTAACCGGAAGCAGATTACTGTATTTTAGTTCGGTAAACTATTAAGTTAACTGATACAATGACAGGGATGTGTTTCCCCGAGACGGTTGATTTATACTAAAGATTCTCGAGAGCTTTTTCGTTTGTGAGCTCCCACAAAACGACAATATACACATGCGTTTATGGGACCATGATGGGACAAGTGCGTAATACTGGGCCTTTTCTCATTGACATGATTTGTTGATTGACAAGCTGGAAAGGTCTACATGCCTTCCTGCTGGGTGCTTATTTGTGAAATGATCAACGTTTTAATGTGTAGTATGTTCATTATTCTTGATAAGTGCATTCTTTGCCACTCTTTAGAGCAGCATTTTCACAACTAAAATTCAGTAAAAAATCTGCATTTATTTCCTTGAAAATACATATATTTCAGGTGATCAACGATCACCACTATCGTTGATCACCATCACACTAACACTTTATTTTCAAAATTCAAAGAACACATGAACAACATTGTATACAGTTCATTCAAACGATTGATTTTATCAGAAACTCTTAATTGTTAAAAACTATGTTTGGAATTGACCCATCAAGTGTCTCAATGTACGGTAACAAACCAACACATTCTCAACAAAATATCCTCCTCCCTATTGTATTTAAAATAATCATGAAAATAAAGCCTAAATGACCTATCATATATATACATATTGTACATTTAAGTCTGGTTTCTATAAAAATATCGCTACAAGCTATCGACGACTCATTTGGCGACGCTGATTGGTCTGTTGAATCAGGGAGCGTTTCAAATTGCATCGGGGACAGCTAGGCAGTGCAAACGCTGTAGCGATTCTATGGAAACCAGGCTACACATAATTATGAGATTCCTGAATCTCATGGGTCTCATAAGCAACATGGTCAACATAGTATGAGCAACTCGGCCAGGCTGGCTGAACATAAGTATTTAAGCCCAGTTGAGCATGCGCTCCACAGATTTTAAGAATGAATTTGTAAATAACGCTATAGGTTAAACATTGGGCAATGGATAATTATTTAGCCGATCTATAAGCAACTCTGGAAGATTGAACATGAGCAGGATAACCATGTGGAATGGCAATGTTGAGCATGATAGATGGTACAATGGTATGAGCAATACAGCTTAGTAGATTGTTTTGAGCAAAATGGTCACTTGAGTATAGTAGCATGATCAGATAGAATGTGCCAAACATGACATTTTTGGGCAAATGCAGCTTAGTAGAATGATCAATGGTTAGCATGACCAGGTATTATGTAAATTATGTGGCGAATGTGAGTACTGTATAAAGAACGCAGCTTGATAGAAACTCAGTATTACAGGGAAAGATGTTGAGCCTGAGCAATGCAGAGAGACTGAGCACAAGCAACACAGACCAAGCATGAGCAAAAATGGTCCGGCTCACGTTAAATTAATTTCCAATGATTTTTAGCTAAAATGATCTGGGAAGGTAAATATTATAACATCGTAACATATCTTCCAAAAACAATAGTTGAAAATAATTTAGTAACATTTGTAATAGCCTAATAACTTAAAGCAGTATTCTATGGTTACCTTCCGTTATCTATTTTATCAATAAAAATCCAGTCATCATTTGTTAATTTTTTGGCCTGTTAATCTATATGTTAATTATCAATTTTTTTCATAATTAAAAATAACCAATAACAGAACAATTACTTAAATTGCATACACAC